TGTTTCCTATGTTGGGATTCCATCATGTTCCTCAGCTCCTCTATTTTTTAATCTGTGTCCTCTCTAGATTTATTAATCATGTCTTGCACTATGGGGACAATCTGCTGATATCTGAGAAATTATTTCTGATTTCATTTTTTCCAGATTCTCTTTCATTGCCAGTTTATGTAGTCTAGGTGGTTGAGTATCAGATTGTTCCCTCTTGTTTCTCTTTGAGCTTGCTTTAGGTGATCTGGAAGTCTGGTTTTGAAACTTGTTTATGTGTCTTCTCATTTCAACAGCATTCTGCGGAGCTGTGTGCTGCTGGCACCTGTGCAGCTCACCTCCTCAGTGCTGGGAGTGGTCAAATAGCAGCCTGGAAAGTTGACCTCCTCTGCACTGGGGGCAGCTCTGTTCTTTGTCACTCAGGGCAGTGGTATGGCAACCCAGAAGATTCACCTCATCTGCTGAGGTCTGGAAATTTTATGTTACTTTTCCTAGGTAATTGACAGAAAGTGAAATGAACATTATGCAATTAGCCAGTGGAAACCCAGTATACTCAAGAACATTACACAAGTTAGTAAAGATTTAATGTTGGAATTTAATATTCCTATAAACTAAAGATATTACTGTGGGACTGAAGAATTACTAGAAAGAAATATGATTTAATGTAAGAAGCACCTCCCCCGGTTTAACCAGAGTTGGGTGAACACTCCTCAAAATGTCTGTCACAATTCATAGCTCACCAGGAAGCTTTCTGATTACAAAATCAAATTCCTAAATTCCCTGAGACTAGGACTGGAGTACTCTGGTAACAGCAAAGACTGTTCTAATCAGGAAAGACTGATCATTTGTGTTAAATTGATAAAATTGGGTTTCTGAGATTATATATTTTGGAACTCAGGATTCAGAAAAACAATCCCTCTTCTTTTCTTTCCCTTCTTTGGAACAAATTACTAAACATGTCTGTATATGTGTAGCTATCTTAGAATGAAGAAAAAATAATGAAGTTATTAATAAATAACAAATTAGTATATGTAATAGAGTATGCTTATGATCATTTAGGGAATAAGAATATAATATTATAACCAGTTATAAACTTCATTCCTAGAATTTAAATGCTAGTGAGGTTACCAACTTATTAGTACCTTTCTTAAGTAAAAAGTAGAAGTTTGGGCCAGGGATTTAGCTCAGTGGTTCCAGCGCCTGCCTCAAAAGAACAAGGGCCAGCGTTTGATTCCCAGTACCAAAACAAAAGTGGAAGCTTTAAACTCACTCGAATTGCAATGATGGCAGACAACCACTCCCAGCAGCCCTTCTGATGGAAATGTTGATCTCTGAGGAGGGTGAGCTGGGGTGGCCAACAGCTCTGTTAGTCTAAGGCTGCAGTGGATACTAGTTAAGAGCAAATCTAGGGCTGGGAATGTAGGTCAGTGGTGCCACACCTGCCTCACAAGCACAAGGTCCTGAGTTTGATCCCTATACCACAAAAGAAAAAAAAAAAAAAACTCAACACGTCTAGTCCCACATTGGTGGTAAACCCTGAAGTTATGAGCACACAGAGAGAAGAGAAAAGGATGAGTGAAATATAAAAGCTGGACCTGAACCAAATTCGAAATAAGAATTTTTTTTATCTGGTCACCTGGATCGATCCTGCAACAACAGACTTTCATGACCTATCCTTTTTTTGTTTTGATTTTTGAGATAGCATCTCACTATGTAGATGAGGCTGGTCTCAAACTCACACCAATCCTCCTGCCTTGGCCTTCCTGAGTGCTAGGATTATAGGTGAGCACTACCATGCCCAGCCTACATATCCTATTTTTAATCAATCCAAAACAGCATTCAGATTAATACCGCTAAAACATAGCTCTGATCATCTCCTGGTTAAAATAACAACAAAAAACATTTGATGGTTTTTTATGGCTCATAATATAAAATCTGAATCTCTTGACAAAACATTCCTTTTGAAACTGTATTTACTATCTCCTTACGCCAACTCAAATTCCAGTTAAGAAACAAATGTATAGACTTTTTTCAATTCAACTGAAATAAGCCATGAAGTATAAAAAAGAAAGAAAGAATGGAGGAAAAAGATTATTACTTGTGGATGGGTACATGTTCCCTGACAACTTGTAAATGTTCTAAAAATTAACATTATGTAAGTTCCTGGCAGCATAGAGTGGCCACATCAGCTATGGAAGATGAAAAGTTCATGTGGTGACCAGATGGGCAGGAACGTGGTGAAGGAGATCCCACCCTGGACTTTTCCAGTCACTTACAGACAAGAGGAAAACTAACTCATCCACTGAACAGGACCATGTTACCAATAAATGGACACAGATGAACAGAGCTCCTAGCACAGTGTGCCGGAGACAAAGACCACTGCCAACAATTTGTGCAATACTCAGTTTTATTATTTGAAAAAACATATGAACTTGTAGCTCCTGACTGACTTGGGCAAGGACATCCAGGCAAGTCCTCAGGTCCATAGATGCTTGACAATGGGAAGCTGGAGAATTCTGATTCACTGGGCACCAACCTGCTTTCTTTCATAAACATGCTGTTGGCTGTACAGTGCATGCTGGAAAGTGGAAAAGGCTTTCTGCTATGCTATAGCTTTGTAAATGGAATAAGCTTATGGTTTTGCAAAGTAAATAATCAAAACTCTGCAGCGTGTTGGGTGTGAGTCACATTATTTAGCTAAAGCCTTTCCCTCTCTGTGTACTTGAGCCAAGGTAATTTGGGTTCAGTGTATGAATTATAATGAGTTCTGAATTAGTAAGATCCAAACTTAAAGTATTTTATGATGAAAGGATGCATATTAAGATAATTAGAACCATAACACAAAAGCTAATTAGAACACCTGAGGTATGAAGAATACTAAAGCTCTTGTTAGAGTGAAGAACTCATGAAGTTCATTGCCGGTTTTTGTTTCTTTCTATGTCTCTGTGTCTTTCTCTCTCTGTGTCTGTCTGTCTGTCTGCCTTTCTCTCAGAGACGGCCTCACTGTACAGTTCAGACTGGCCTTGAGTTCACTGTGTTACCAAGGCTGGCAATAAAATCATAGCATTCCTGGGCCAGGGATTTAGTTCAGTGGCACCACACCTGCCTGGCAAGCACAAGGTCCTGAGTTCGATCCCTGGTACTGAAAAAAAAAAAAAAAGGAACAAAATCACAGCAATTCTCCTGCTTCATCCTCCCAAATGCTGGGATTACAGGCATGTACCACCACCCCTGGCTTGTCATTGCCCTTACTAGACAGAACCAAGGCCACTACAAATTCCTACTATGGTTGCTGAAGGTATAATCTTCATAATTGTACCAAGTTGCATAACATTTTCCCCAAACTGCTAACAGCATTATTGAATAGGGCCAGAGATTTAGCTCAGTGGTTCTGCCACCTGTCTCACAAGCGCAAGGTCCCAAGTTTGATCCCCTCCCCAGTACCAAAAAAAACAAAAACAAGAACCCAGCATTACTGAATAAAGGAATAAAACGTCCAAATGCATCAGAATAGACTGAATTTTTTATAATCTTCTCAAATAATTTCTAAATAACCTAATTTCACAGAATAATTTTGCTTACTAAATATAATAAGGCAAAACCATTTTATTCTGCAATATCTGAAATCAAATCTTTATCAAAACATTTCTAAATCTGCACCTCTTATTTGAGCCAAGACTTTCAGCAATTGTGAACAATACCAGTGCTTTTCAGTTTATCTTGATTAGTTCTGCAGTTAGAGCATTCTGAATTTTAAATGATGAATAATGTTACTACAGTAGAATTTAGCTAAACCAGGTCCTTGTGCAAAGCACCTTTTCTTTTCTTCACATGTTTTCCTTATATATAGAAGATACTGGATTATGATGTAAGGAGCCAGGGTTCTGGAATTAGCTTCTTATTTGAGCACCAGCTTGGCCACTGAACAAATACTGATTACTATCTGTGCTTCAGTTTTCTTGCCTGTAAAATAGAGATGTTAGTGCTTAGTATCATTCACAGGACTACTGCATTAAAAATACACCCTAGGCATAATCAGTAAATCACTCTCATTAGTTATTCTCATTATCCTCATGTTGCTTTCGGTTTACATCTTTAATCATGAAGTCCAGTCTTACAAATATTGCTGAATTAATACAATTATTATTTAATACTATGATTGTTGAAAACTGAATTTGGTAAGAGTAACATTTTTACAAGAAAGACAATGGACTTACCTAAATATACAGTCAGGTATTTTGAGTGCAATATAATTACCCTAGCAAAATTTGATGTCTTTATTAATGCATATAAATTGCAAAAATTAATGGGTTGTGAAACTTTCATACGTACATACAGCATGGTTTTATTGCATCAGGGTGGAATGTATACACCACTGCTCTGCTGGGACACACACCTACCAGGATTGTAAACTCTCAGCACCAGTAAGGAATCAAAGCAGTGGCATTTGAAATAAAGGAAGGCATGGGTAGGGAATGTAGCTCAGTGCACAGTGCCTGCCTGGCAAGCATGAGGTCCTGAGTTCAATCCCTGGAATCAAAACAAGGAAAGAAGACAGTTTATTTGGAAAAGGGAGGAAAAGAGAAGATACCAGGCACTAGAAAGGCGAATACCTCCAAACCCTTGTCCCTGGCTTTTTAAATTTAGGATTGATTTTTTTCTATCTCCCATGTGGGCACCTGGAAATTGTTGCCATCTGATTGACTCTCTAGCTGTCTTTGACCCTAACTCAGACACCTCGGCCTGCATTCTTTTTGGCCATTTGATTCATTCCTGCTTCTTTGTAATGGATAAGTGTATTGGGGGAAGCCTTATAGAAAGGTAGCTTAGTGTTAATGATTAAATAAAGGGGACATGTGTGTATCTGGTATAGTATGATGCTAAAGTGAGAATATACATATATTTTTACATGTATAGGTGTGCGTATCTTTTACATGTTAAATAAGGGTCCTTAGGTGTCTTCCCCTTGTCCCCTTTGCATGTTATCAGAGGTAGAGAGTGGAGCTGATCTTTTATGTTTCTAGCTTCCTACAGGCTTTGTTACCTCTTTCTAAAAAATACATATCGTGATTACATAACCTGGCACATTTCTGGGTCTGGTTTCTCTCTCCTTCTTTGTCTTTCTACTTGCTCTAACTGTAGAGTCTAACTGTAGAGTCTAACTGTAGAGTCTAACTGTAGAGGCAAAAGCTGCTTTATCCAGATTCCCTATTAAGTTTTTTGTTTGTTTGTTTGCAGGGATCGAACTCAGGACCTTGTGCTTGTGAAGCAGATGGTGGAACCACTGAGCTAAATCCCAGGTCCCCCTATTAATTTTTTAAAGAAAGACTATCTTTGCCCTGCCTAGGAGCCGTCTTTTCCTACAGTTTGATTGTATCCATTCTTCCCACTAACTACCCCTCCCTTTTAAAACAAAATATAAAAAGCAAAATATATTACAGCACATGTCACTCAGGTAGTGGCATTATAATGCTAATTTTAAAGAAATTCATTTTTTAAATTTATTTATTTTTGGAACCAGGGATCAAACTCAGGACCTTGTGCTTGCAAGGCAGGCAGCAGAACCACTGAGCTAAATTCCCAGCCCTCATCTGTATTTATAAGATAATTTTTAGAAACTATAGCTTCATTCAGAGAAGCAAGACTTGCTAAAATTAACTATCAAATTAGTTAACATTCTGTAAGACTGGATATCATCCTGTCTTTCAATTGTTTAAATTCTCTCTAGGACATCATGAAACTTTACAACAGGAATGCATGTTCTGCTAATGTACCATATGATATATATTCTTAAATTCTTCTTCTAAAACATATTTATTTATAGTATAATAAAATGTAGCCAAAATAAAATTTTTCCTGGATTCCAAAGGAGTTGATATCTGACTACAAATGTGTAGTAGGGACACTAACATGCTAAACATAATCCTAAGAGAGATGTCCGTGACTGATTAAGTATTGTTAAACAAGGGTTGCAAGAGGCTTTTTGTTTGGACTGTTCTTCTGTACTGGTCCTAGCAGGCCAGACCAAATGGAGTCACCTATGTTAAGAGCCACATGATCAAACTGAAACTTTAAGGAAGCAGGTAGATCCCCAAAAAGAGCAGTTTTTCCTGAAAATAACAAATTCAGAGCAATAAATCAGAAGGAGCCCAATCTTCCAAGGTCATCATAATAAATAAGTTCTTGGTGCTTGAACCCTCATAAGAAAGTTGACCTAGAGTAGTCTGATATTAACCAATCTGCTTTTTTGGGGGTTAATGTTTCTTGTTCCTGATAAGAGAACATGCATGAGAACTTGCTTTAGTGATAATAGAAATTAAAACTGTGGCAACAGCATGAATCCATAGCCAAAACATTAGAGGGCCAGGGATTTAGCTCAGTGGTTCCAGCACCTGCCTCGCGATCACAAGGTCCAGAGTTCGATCCCCAGTATCAAAAAACAAACAACCCCCCCCCCAAAATGAAATAGAAGAATGAATTTAGGAACAACAGAGGTTAAGAGTAGGAAAAATGTATTGAGAGAAAGATAGCTTTTGATAAGAGAGACAGAAGGGGGACTAGAAAGTGGGTTGCCTGCCCACCCCACTATTATAAGATGTTTTACAGGGCAAAGCCATGAGATGAGGTGGGTACAAAGTGGACAAAGATCCAGCAGAAAATCACAAGATGGGCATGAGGTGGGGCAAAACCATAGTCAACCAATAAGATTACAAGTACAGTCACCCAGGTGATATTGATTAAATGGGGATCAAATAGGAAAACAAGTCATGTAGGAGGAATTTCCAGAAGGGAAATGGGCTAGGGAGATTGATGCCTATTTAGAAAATCAATCACTGCTATTCATCTATAGGGGAAGTAGGTAAGTGCAGTACCTCTTCTCTTTTTATAATGCTAACCAGTGAATGTGCCTCAATTGTTTATGCTGAGGGCCCAGTTGTATCTAGCTGCCTTATAATAATTTCTAACTAACTTAGCTATCTGCAATTATGTGATATAGACTTTCATGAAAAAAATAGAATATATAGATAGGAAGTCTTTAAAGTATAGATATTTAGCAGAAATTCCTAAAAATTCTACTGTAGGGAAAGCTAGCTCCTAGACACGAAAAGGATAGGCATTATTAAAAATCAATAGGAAATCTTACTAAAAAAAAGACCCCAAAAAGCGCCAGATAACAAAATTACCATAAAAATTTATCAAAAAGAGTTAATAAAAGAAAAAAAGCTCAAAATATAAAGGACCAGAGTAACCAGCCACCCACCTCTGATAAAATGCAAAGGAGACAAAGGGAAGGCACCAGAAGACACACACACTTACACATGTATATGCATATTCTCACTTTAGCATCACTATATTACTCCACCAGATACACAAATGTTCCCTTTACTTATTAACTCTAAGCTACTTTTCTGTAAGGCACCCCCACTTATCCATCACACACACACACACACACACACACACAGAAAATCAAATGCCCCTCCCAAAAAATATAGGCAGCCAGAGAGCCAACCAGATGGCGACAATTTCCAGGTGCCCCCATGTAGTATGGGAAAAATCACTAGTCCTAAATAAAAGGAGCCAGGGACAGGGGCAGAGTAGGGGGAGGTATTCACCTTTCCGATGCCCCTTGATCTTCCAGAGTAGCTGTCTGTCTTCTCTTTTCCCATCCTTTTCCAAGTAAATGTCTTCCTTTCCTTTAAACTCCACCTCTCTAATTCCTTACTGGTGCTGAGAGTTTACCATCCTGGTAGCAGTGCATTCCAGAGGAGCAGCGGAGTGTACATCCCATCCAACACAACACTTCATAATAAATTACAGAAATTGGAGTTCTGTAACTTTGTCCCTTGCGGTTTTCAAATATTTCTGCAATTGAAAACATTTCCAACTGAAAGTGTTTCATCAAGCCGGGTGTGGTGGCGCAAGCTTGTAATCCCAGCATTGGGAGGCTGAGGCAGAGGATCCCCCCAACTTCAAAGCCAGCCTGGGCTACACAGTGAGACCCTGTCTCAAAAACAACCCCTCCCCAAGAAAAGAACTTCATCAAAGAATTCATTTTAAGTTTCTATCATATATGGTAAAATTCTCCAAAGCTTGTAATGACTATGAATTACTAGAACTTGTCTCAAGTCAGTGCATATCTCTAATCCAGTTGTACTATATAGTCTTGTTGAACCATAGATTCAAAACAAACAATTATAGCATAGTGATTATAAAAATTAAGCACACATAGCTTCTTATTTTTGATATAAACAAGTGTAGCTGAGCCCACGTGCATCTAGGAGTTAGAATTATCTCCATGTAGAATGCAATGTTTATTGAAAAATAATAATTTTAAAAGTGGCAATACTCATGTGTATGTCAAATTTCCGTAACTGCAGCAATTGGTTAACACTTGGGCCAACAAAAATGTTGTTTTTGTTTTTCCAGAGTAATAGTATCACTGAAGCTGTTTGGAATTGTCAGTATATAGTGATGATAAAAATTTTATTGTTTATTCCTTTTAAATTTTCAACACACAATGCACTCCCTCGTTGCCTGTCTGGGTGAAGTACCCTACCATCCATCCTAGGTGTGGCACTGACCTGAGGAGAATAGCGAGGCAAGCTGAAAAGTACCGCTCACATCCTCTTAACCAGCAGGCCAATTATTTCTGGAATAAAGAGATTACAAACACTGTAAGAAGAATGAAGTGGCTTGTTGATTTATTTCTAGAAATATTCATAAGATGTATATATTATGGTCCTTATGATCCCTCCTGCTCCTTCTGTAGGCTTGCTTGAATCCTTCTGTATGAACTTCATGTTTTTTATTATTTGCCAATAGTGGCAGTGGACTAGCATATCTTACTCTGACATAGTGGAATGGAGACCAACTGAAATACCAAGTTTTACATTTTTTGTTTAGACACATGATTCTCTACAGTGCCATTTGAAGTACTTTCTGGGATGAAAAAGAACTGCTCATTCTAATGCACTCCTCTTCAGTCTAGAAAGGAAATATCTAAGAAATTTAATTAAAGTTTAAGTGACTCATAATGTAAATCTTAAAAGACTGCAGCAAATGTTACATTTCTGGTTCATAGTTTTAAAAAAGGAAAAATAAAAGCTGTAGTTAATTATTGCAAGGTTCCAGTATATTAAGGACTTACTGTATAAATTATAGTAAATAAGGGCTGGGGATTTAGCTCAATGATTCCAGGCTTGCCGTGCAAGTGCAAGGTCCTGAGTTCAATTCCTGATACCAAAAAAAAAAAAATTATAGTAAGTAAAATAATTGGAAAAACAGCATTTGCTCTTTTAGAAATCAGACTTTGCACTGACCAAAATATCAAAATGACTGCACCTTGTATGTTTTCTACCCTTCACTGACAAACGTGCTTGAAGAAACTAAGCTATACATTTCTTTTTTTTTCTTTTTTTGGTACTGTTGTGCCCAGATTGCGAGGTCCCAAAGACCACCAGGAGGCCGTTTCCGATGTAAGCACACGAGGGTCATTTATTCAAGCTTAAGCAGGGACTCTCAATTGTCACC